CTCCGCCTTGGAGGCGCCACGCGCCTGCCGGGCCGCAGCCGCCCTGGCACTGGCTGCGACAACTGTCACGCCGTGGGCAGCTGTTAGTTCGTTACCTGGGCGTGTGCACTGAAGCACCAAAGCGCACCTTTCACCTGTCGGCCTTTCGCCACCCTCGGCGCCTGCTGCTCTCACTGCGCTGGGAGGCCGCCTTTGCTATGGGAGCCCTGGACCGGGCTGCCCCCAGCCCCAATGTGCCTGGTGGCCAAGGCTCCAGCTCCAGTCATTTTCCCCATAAACGTCGGGTGCTGAACAGCAACCCTCTGCACCTCCAGGTATCCCCCAGCAGCCCCTTCATTTCCAATTCCACCCCCTCAACCTCCCTGATTACCCTTTGCAGCTAACCCACCTTGCCTCTTGGGGATCCTGCCCCCCCCCCAGCAGCCCCATCTGCTTCTCTGATCCCACTCTAGAAGACCCCTTAGCTTCCTAGCCCCTCCTAACTAGCTTCTGGCTCCCCCAGGTGGTGAACAGCCCGAAGCCCACCGTTCCAGAGATGGGCCTGCTGCTGGTTGGGCTACAGCTCTGGAATGCCCAGNCCCAGCAGCCCCATCTGCTTCTCTGATCCCACTCTAGAGGACCCCTTAGCTTCCTAGCCCCTCCTAACTAGCTTCTGGCTCCCCCAGGTGGTGAACAGCCCGAAGCCCACCGTTCCAGAGATGGGCCTGCTGCTGGTTGGGCTACAGCTCTGGAATGCCCAGTGGGATCCGCTAGCAGGGGCCTTGCAGGACGGCCCCTCCAGCCAGCCCAGCCTTCTGCCTCCAGTCAGCGTCAGCGTTCAGGCCAGGGGCACCAATGACCTGCCACCCCCTGCAGGCCTGGCTGTATATTCCTGTCCTGTGTACTTGGAAGGGTCCCCGGGCACTGCTAGGCTGCACAGCAGGAATATCCTGGTGCATCTGCCCCTGCCCACCAAGCTCAGCCCCACCATCTGTGTTCAACGGAGAGTCCATGTGTGTAGCCCACCCCTGACCTGAGCCTTAAACCAAACTAAAGGTGGAGTGATCCAATGAAAGAGTTCTGAGATTTATAAGGAGTGTACATGCGTACGCACTGAGAGTGTGACCCACTGAGGGAAAAGCAGTGTGCACAGCTGAGGAGAGAAGAGGTGTGTTCACAGGGAAGGTAGAAGAGCATGTGTGTCTGGCAACAGGGAGAGGGGAATGTGGGGACACTATGAAGAAAGGGGCCTGGTATTGGTCATAGGCAGATCTGGGGATGGCTAGGACGCAGGATCCCAAATCCTTGCCCAGCTCTCTACTGTGGTCTCAGCATTTGTGTTAAATCCACAAGGGGTATTGTTAAAATATATATATCTTTATTGATTTCAGAGAGAAGGGAAAGAGAGAGATAGAAACATCAATGATAAGAGAGTTCTCATTGATCAGCTGCCTCTTGCATGCCCTCCACTGGGGATGGAGCCCACAACCTGGGCATGTGCCCCGACCAGGAATTGAACCTTGATCTCCTGGACCATAGGCTGATGCTCAACCACTTAGCCACACCAGCTGGGCACACAAGGATAACATTAGAACTCAAAATTATTTCTTAAGGGATTTACTGGTATTATTGGTATTGCTGCCCTAATCCTGCCCTACCTGTCATCCCTTCCTCTACAGTGGATAATCTGAGTGAGCCATCTACACACACACAAAAACAAGCAAAATAAGATACAAGGTCCTATGTTCGCTGAACAATTATTTGTTGAGTGCTTCTTTGAAGCAGGTACTCTGCCAGGCACTAATAAGGTTGTTCTAATAGAGTGAGACAGACAATAAAAGACCAACATATAAATAAGTTAAATTTGATGATTTTTAAGTGCCAGAAAGAAAATAAAGTAGACTGATATGTTAGAGGGTGACTAGAAGGGAGCAGTTAATACAGGTTGGGTGGTAAGGGAAGGATTCCTGAATATTTGAAAGGGAGGAGTGTTTCCGGTAGAGCCCTTGGTAGGTGCAAAGGTCTTGAGGCAGAACAACCTTGGGGTGTTCAAGGAACAGAACGTGTAGCTGGAGCATAATCAGTGAGGGGCAGGGTGAGTCAAGAGGATGGAAAGGTATAGAAAGGGGCAGATCACAACCCTTTATAGAAAGGCTGGGGATTGAGCCCACAACCCGCACATGTGCCCTGGCTGGGAATTGAACTGTGATCTCTTGGATCCTAGGTCGATGCTCAACCGCTGAGCCATGCTGGCCAGGCACAACTGACGCCTTTTAACAAAAGGTGGTGCAGAAAGGCAAAAAGCTCCACTTTCCTCAGAAGCCATTCCCTTTTCTTTCCCATGGTCAACCAGGGGCATGGCTGTTCCTTCAGGAGAGGAGATTAGCAGAGTACTGAAGAAGTCCTTTTGGATAGACGAACCCTCTATCCATGTTTACCATCACTACTGTTTATCCAGTGGGAGCAGGGAGTGACAGTGAGGTACCTGTAAAACCATCTGAAATTGGTTGGTACAGAATATTTTCTACAATTCCACACCATTCTCTGGACTGAAATTCATTTTTGAATTATGCCCAGCCCAGTTATTAAACTGAGTCAATTAGAGATTATAAAATAAATACCATATGACAGTATAGCCCAAATACAATGTAAAAATATTCCAGATTTGACAATTTCACTACTGAAATTGTCTACCAGATAAATTGAAATCCCATTAAGAAAGTCCCAAACAATGAAAGGAAGTAGGAAGTAAGACTCAGAACAAAGGGGAGAAATGTGTGTCGTCCTGTCCCGATGGATGGGACCAGATGGAGTAGAGACAAGAGAGGGAGGAGAGGGACAAAATCATCGTCACGTGGGACTTTGAGAGGGAGCAGGAAACTGGCACACGGGGGCCAAAGAGGCTTTGGCCCTTTTCCCTCGAGGGGCTTTAGAAGGGAACTGCTCTGCAGTGTGGACTTCCCTTGGCCCCAGGAGCATTCTGAGGGCAGAGCGGCATGGTCAGGAAGAGGTGTCCTATTGGTGTGGATGCTAAGTAGAGATCCTGTAGGCTCAGTGGAGTATGGAAATCACTGTGACCCGCAGCACAGAACAGTGTTGTTGCGAGGAGGCCAGATCAGCAGGGGAGGGGCACAGGCCCTGAGAGCTGAAATGGACCAGGCCACGGATTCATCAGCTTTCGAAGCAGATGCTGGCAGAGCGCCCGGGCAAGAAACTGGGCCAACTGCGCCCAGAGGATTCAGCTTGTGCACACCCGAGAACCGGCGCTAGGCCAGGGGACCCCTTCCTTCTGAAATCGAAATCCCTTCCCTCTATTCCCAGATGCCACTTTGGAGAGGAGCAGAGGTAGAATGGGAGCAATTTGAGTTTCTGGGCATTTATTTCAAGGAGGGTAAATCAAACCCAAAGAGACTGAATTACATTTATTTCTAGCCTCTTCCACTATTTGGTGGAGTGCAGGATGGAAACTATTTGGTGGGACGCAGGATTGTGAGGAAGACATATCAGCAGTCGAGAAAGGAGCTAAATTGTATTTGCATATCCAAATTTATGAGAAAATCTGTGATCGGCTCTGTACACTTCATGCACTAATCATCCAAAGACTGAAAATGTCGTGGGTTAGCACGCTGAAACTCACCTGAAACTCAGTTATTTCTGCAGCTTTTCGGTCTAATTTGAAATCCTCATTCAGAAATAGGGTAAGTAGAGGAAATGTCTGAAATATAAAACAGTACCATTTTCATCCACTAATGCCCAAGAAGCACTGGTATCTACATGATAGGTACTATTATTATTCCATTTTACAAATGAGGAATCTGAGACACAGATTCAGTAAATTACCCAGGGTCAGAAAACGGCAGAGCCAGTTTTTGAATACAGGCATTTCTCTGCAAAAGCCATTCTCTCCACAGCATTCTGTTGCCTCTGGGGAGGCAGTGGGAAAACAGGACTCCTCATGCACTGTTGATGGGGGTACACTGCGGTAGTTATCCTGGGGAGCAATATGGCATTTAATTAATACACTGTTCTAGCAATTCTGCTCCCAGGTTTATATCTCAGAGTCACACACAAAATGCATTGGGAAGTGTTCAGTCCTACTCTACTTTCTGAAGGAGTCTGTGTAGGATTGATATTACATAATGTAATTTCTTCCATCACTGGTTGATAGAATTTGCTAGTAGAGCCATTTGGGCCTGGAGTTTTTTGTTTTGTTTTATGGGGGAGGTTTTCAATTACAAATTCAATTTCTTTAGTAGATATAAGATTATCAGGTTTTTAACTCTTGAGTTTGAGAGTTCTTTATTATTATAGATGCTAGTCCTTTGTTAGGTATGCAGTTTGCAAATATTTTCTCCCAGTCTATAGCTTCCTCTTAACAGAATCTTTCATAGAGCAAAAGTTTTTAATTTTGATGAAGCCCAATTTATCCATGTTTCCCTTTATAGGTCAATCTTTTGATGTTGTTTTAAAACTCTTTGCCTAACCCTAGATACCAAAGATCTCTCGTTTCTTTCCTACAGGATTTATAGTTTTCTATTTTACATCAGTCCATGATCCATTTTGTGTTAATTTTTGTATAAGGTGTGAGACTAAGTCAAGGTTTTTTTGTCTGTCTGTTATTCATTTGATAATATTTATTGAGTATTTACTCTATGCCAGGCACTGTTCTAGTCAGGGGAGTTACAGCAGCAAGGCAGAGCAGGTCCCTGCCCTCATTCTGCTTCATCTTTTTTTTTTTAATCTTAGTATTTTTATTGAGATTTTATTGTTCAGGTTCAAGTGAATTTTTCTTTTTTGGCTCAATTCCTCCACCCGCCAGCCCCCTATCTCCTGACAGCTGTCAGCCTGCTCTCTATCTGACTCTGTCTTTATTGTGCTTGTTAGTTCATTTTTTTCTTGGTAGTTTTAAAATGTTTAATTTCCTTAACAGTTACAGGGCTATCTAAATTATTTATTACGTATTGAATGAGTTGTAATACTTTTGGGTTTTTGTTTTTTTTGAGTTGTTCCATTTCAACTAAGTTGTCAAATATATGTGTACAGAGTTGTTCACAGTATTCTTTTATCTTTATCATTTATATCTGCACAGTTTGTAGTGATAGTTATTTCATTTCTGATACTGATAGTTTGTATCTTTTCTCTTTGTCTCTTTTCTCTAGTCTTACAGGAGGTTTGTAATTTTATTGTCTTTTCAAAGAAACAGTTCTTTGTTTCACTGGTTTGTTCTATTGTGTTTTGTTTCTTTTCAATTTCATAGATTTCTGCTTTTACCTTTATTAATTTCCTCTTTCTGCTTGTTTTGGATTTATATTACTCTTGCTCTTCTAGATTACTGAGGTGGGAACTTTGATTATTGATCTGAGACTATCTCTTTTTCAATGAATGCATTTAGCACAATAAATATCTTTCAGCATTGCTTTAGTGATGTCTCACAAAGTTTGATGTTGTGCTTTCATTTTAATTACATTCAATGTATTTTTAAAATTTCCCTTGTGACTTCTCTTTGACCCATGGATTGTTTAGAAGTATATTGTTTAGCTTCTAAGTGTTTGGAGGTTTTCCTGTGACTGATTTCTGATTTAATTTTATTGTGGTCAGAGAACACACTCTATGTGATTTGACATTTGTTGAAATTCGTTTTATGACCCAAGATATAATCTATCTTGATATATGTTCCATGGGTACTTGAAAATGTGTTGTGTTGGGTAAAGTGTTCTATAAATGTCAACTAGATCCTATTAGTTGAAGGTATTATTGAGTTTTATATAAATGCTCACTTTCTGTCTAGTTGTTTTACCAATTATTGAGAGGTGTTGAAGTCTCCAACTTCAACTGTAAATTTGTCTATTTCTCCTTTTAGTTATATCAGTTTTCACGTGTTTTGTACGCTGTTGTTTGGCATGTATACATTTAGGATTGTTGTCTTCATGTGCATTGACTGTTTATCATTATATAATGTCCTGTCAATTTCTTTTCTACTGAAGTCTACTTTATCTGATAACATAGTCACTCGTTTTCCTTTGGTTAATATTTGCATTATGTATATTTTTCATTCTCTTACTTTCAATTTGCCTATATTGTTATAT